ACCAATAAATCTCTTGTACACAAACGAGGGAGAAAAGATGATGATTTGAGTCACCCACAAGGTGAAATGAGTTTTTATTGAAATTGTGCAATCCTACACTTAAAGCGGAATATCATCGACGCTTGGGAGGAAATGAAAACTGTTTACCCAAAACTTTACGGGCTTTTGAAAAATTACTGTTACTTAGTTGGTACCTCGGCCTTGAGCGCCTTTTTTCAAAAGCTGGTGGTATAGCAACCGAGAAACGCAACGGCTTAACAACAAAACGCTTATCGAACCTTTTGTTTTTGAAAACTTGGTTAAATAATAAATAATTATCGTCGCTAAAATACTCGTTTTATTTTATTTAATGCTAGTTTTTTATGGAAACGTATTTGCGTGAATACCCACAGTAAAAAAAAATGCCTGTAAAAATTCGACCAATCGATTATTTCCCAATATTTTTAATTATTATTTTTTGCTTGTGATTAAACATATGATTAATTAGTCGATTATTTTATATTTTTTTTTGCCATCCTTAATTATGGTACAATTCTGCAGTAGCCGATCAAGGTGATGAATAGAACTGACAGTAACAACAGATTAGAGATAAAGGGTGAGAGCGGTGTTGTTGAGGAAGATTAATTTGTTTTGTTCGAGAGCGAATGGTGCAAAGCGTATCGGGCAGGTACCTATCAAAAAAAAACTTGTTTTCGAATTCATTTTTACTAATTTCACGAAGCACTGCCGCACTATGTGTATAATCACCGAATCTTAGAACTTTTCGAAATGCGCAGTGGATTTTTATAAATTTTTTTTATTTATTTTTTTTGAGAGTATACTGCAGAGGAGAGCATGATTTCGGTTGCATTGCGAGAGTTTAAAGTCGATTTGCTCACATACCAATCTCTGATCGCTGCTCTCACTTGTAGCACTCACTGTCTCTCATACAACGGACCAGAATTTGCTCTGGTTTAGAAACGAACAAAATAATAAGATGAGTGCATTAAAATTTATGTAAGTAAAGAAATCAGAAAAATGTGAGTAAATTAACAGCGAAATAGATATAGTGCGAGGCAGGCGTGTTGTTATGTTAATTTGTTTACATTTGAGGGAAAAGCACTTTCAAAAAAGGCAGCGAATGAGCAGAGGAAAATTAATATGCAATACACGCAGGCGAGCAAATGATCAGAAAAAGAAGTTTATTTTTTTTTTAATAAAAAATCTTTGCACTCACGTCTAGAGCGTGCCTCAAATGCACAGTGGGCACAGTGGGTGTACAGCGCTTCGTTTATTACTTAAATATCTATATAAATATTATGGGCAAATAAATAAACAATTTTTCTTATAGCAAACTGGGACACTTGAATTATTAAATGTATTTTACAAAATATTTTTTGTCTTTCATTAGTTCCAATTGACTGCGGTGTCGAACGCTTGACATAAATCTCAATTTGTCTAGCGGAGAGGGGAATAGTTGCGCACAAAGGGCAGTAGGCACTGCTGACTTATCACTGCACAAACATCCATCTACTCGTACTCGTATACTACAACTGCTAATCGCCCCATTTGGCTGCCAGCTTGCGTTGAATTGAGATATTTTTAAGCCTTAATGGAAATTGTATTTTTATTGATTTGATTGATGGAAATCGATATGGAAATGTCAAAATAAAATAGAAAGCAGTAGCAAAACCATGGAGATATAACAATTACAATTTTACAAATATACATAGTATTGAGGTGCTCATTGCAACACCATTCACCATGCATTTTAAGTAGGAATGCAATAAACGGCTCTGCATGCAATTATATGGGAAAATTATATGGGAAATAAGAGACTAGGCAATTTTATGACAGTAAAATGATACATACATACATACTAAGTACAATATTAATGTAAAAAAATTTATATACATTTTTTTGAAGGCTATATGAAAAACTGTTACAGCATTTTTTAGCAAGAGAAAGTTTCTCTGAGAAACATCTTTTACAAGCTTTTCTTTAAATTCACATGTAGGTAGGTATGTAAACTCTGGAATTTTCAAACAATATTTCACCAATTTTCCGTTGAGTCTCTAGACCTGAAACTTCAAACTTAGCTCACAGCCCGATGATAATACAACATGAAAGTTCCGCTAGGTGGCGCAGGAGTCGAGTCATCTGGAAAATTCGATTTGGTTCATACTTATTTAAAAACCTTGCTTTAAAAATATATTTTTACTACTCTACTATATTTTTACGACTCGATTAGGCATGGATTATACGGGATTCCACCAAGAATAATTACCTTAGCGAACACATTTTTCTTAGCTATACTTTTTTACAAAAGAAAAGTTAAATGAAACGTTTATTGTTCATAAAATTACGAACAGGCATTGGCCAGATATTCCTTCTGCCATCTAGCACCCGACAAGGAAAACTATCGAGGCACTAGACACAAAGGTAACGCCCGCTCTAAGTAACCACTATCCGCGATTCTGAACAGCTTCCGTCTAATGAATTGTTGAATTACTAACCAGCATTCACATACAGTCCCTAATTTACCATTGTTTTGCAGCTGCTTGGCAGAGCTTATTATGGTAGTGGCAAGGAAATCAATGTCAGGAATTTCTAGCCAGCACCAGGATAAGTGGCCCAAGTCAAGTCAGCGAAGCAAAAAGATATTTGACTACTTTAACACTTTTTTGTATTTTTTTGAGAAAAATTACTCGGGCTTGCGGACACAACTTCAAAAATGGGCAAAAACGGCATTTTTTGCACTTATAGGTAAGAATATCCCAAAATCCTGATGTGATAGAGCAATTCTGTGGTCAGATTTGAATTCAGCGCACCGAAACCCTTCGGGAAAGTATAGTCTGGTTTCTGGGTAAACATTTTGTCGGCCTGTGTTATTTATCGATGTTGTTATCGACATTTTTTCGATTTTGTTATCGATATTTTATCAACTTTATATCGATTTTATTATCGATAATTTATCGATCTTGTTATCGGTATTTTGATCGATATTTTTATCGATTATATTATCGTTTGTTTACCGATTTTGTTATCGTTTGTTTACTGATTTTGTCATCGATATTTTTATCGATTTTCTAATCTAATATTACTATTGATTTTGCTACCGAAATTTTTATCGAATATGTCATTGATTCTTTTTTATCGATATTTTATGGATTTTGTTATCAATTGTTTATCGATTTTGTTATCGGATTTGTTGTCGATTATTTATCGATTTTATTATGGTTTTTGTTATCGATATTTTTTCGGTTTTGTTATCGATTATTCATGGATTTTGTTATCCATTGTTTATCGACTATGTTATCGATATTTGTATCGATTTTTTTATCGATTATTTATCGATTTTGTTAGCGATATTTTGATCGAATTTGTCATCGATTTTGTTATCGATATTTTTATCGGTTTTATTATCGATATTTTGTTGGATGTTACTATCTTTTTTTTTAGCGATAGAGCATAAAGATAAAAATTAATATAAAGGAAAACAGAATAACATAAATGTAATTAGAACGAACAGGGGTAGAGGTAGGGATTTAAATAGAAAAAAACGACAAAACATATAACCTTAAGTTTCACTCCTCCAGTGTGGCCCAGGCACACTAACTTTTTTTTTATATATTATTTTAATAAGCCTAGAAATCTTGGAAAACCCACTGCCATTTAATTTAAACACAAAAATTTTTTTTTTTTTTTATTGTTCCGAAATCCACCGAAATAACTACTGACACAGCTACTCCACCCAAAATTATGCCGCATAAAATTAATTATATATAATTTAAAAGATTTTATTCTGAACGTTCTCAGCATTTAAAATATATTTTTTGCAGCTGCTATTAGGTGACTGAACGAGTTTCGCCAAGAAACATTTAAAATACAGGTTCCTAAGCATATGAAGTGTGTTTTAAATTTTGCACAACATTTTTCTATTCAGCTATTCGCACTTGCTCATAAAATATAAATACGCGCGTATAACATAGGAGGTTTCTACGTGTAATTCTATGCCAAATTTTTCGAAGAAACCATAGGTCTAAAATCAATTTGGAGTTTGTCAAATTGCGAAAATGGGTTCGAAGAAAATGCTAAAATTTTTTTAAAATGTTTTTAAAATGATACGTGGAAAAATGAATTGCCCATACGAAAAACCCCCTTATCGCATATTTTTTTTACCAAATTTAAGCACTTCTCTACGATACCCATTTTCACAGTTTGACAAACTCCAAATTTTAGACTCATGGTTTCTTTGGCTAATTTTCGCAGAATTGCACGTAGAATCCTTCTGTGCTGTACGCGCATAGTAGAAAAAATCCTCTATACAAATTGATCCACCCTAGTACAGAGCACACATACTATACATATTTTACATTGTACAGTAGTCTAACCATTCATTGATTTCTTTGCCAGTACTTCATACAAACCTAAGTACAAATAAACGTACGATCGATCACAACAACTTCATCCAGGAACTGCAGTAATAATAAAGCCAATACCGCAAGTAATGTAAACTTAGCGAAGCGTAATGAATGCTGTTAGCAACGAGTAGCGGCGACCGAGGAGAGTGTGCCCTGCTGCCATCGTCGAAGTGTCACCGCATTTACGAGCCATAAACACATATAGCCGTCCGTCCATACGCGCAAACGCTCTCCAAGTGTTGTAGCTAGCTATGCCTGTCAAACTAAGACAGAGGCAGCCAATTGCTGCCAACGCTACAAACAGCAGCGATTTTCTTTTGCTTAACCCATTTTGCCGCCAAAGCTCATTTGTGCTCCTAATAACATAAACTTTCATACATAAATACATATACATATGTATATACACGCATGTATAGGGCGTATGTGTGTACGCATATGTATGTATGTATGTGGGGCTGCTCACAACACACACATTTGCACAAAATGTTGGTGCTGTTTAAAACATAGCGCATAGTGGATTTTTTTTCCCTCACACAGATGAGTACAAAGAGTTTTTCAAAAAGTAAAAAAAAAAATATTACAGCTTAGCAAGGCGCGAGTATTTAGTTTGCTATTCGCGTTGCTCGCGTGCGGTTCGAAGAAAGGGAAAAAATAATAGCAAAATTGAAAAATTGCACAATTCTTAATTTGTAGAATATATACCAATATTTGGTTGTGTCTTTTCGTCGCTGGCGAGGTCAGAGGTAGAGTTGAAGGTGTGAAAAGAGTGCAACAATCCAACAGGTTAAAAAAAGGCATAAATAATAAAAAAAGATATTTAAATGCATGCATACACACAAGCCTACATAAATATGTATCTACAAGGAAGCGCATCTAATATGCATTTACTTCGGCCGTACATGGCGTATGAGTAACGCCAGTAAGGCTTAAAAAAAGTGGTTGGTTACAAGTGAAAGGACAATTTGGCAGAGACGCAGTCAAACACAAATGCATATAAATTTAGTTTCAAACATTGTCGCGGTCATTGCTAACCGTTCAAAAATGTGCGTTTGAGAGGTACACATAACCAAGGTTAATGGGTGAATCAACGGCAGAGGCAAAGGAAAAAAATGTAAAAAAATTCAAAATAAATAAAATACATAAATAATTAGTTTAAATCGAAAAAAAGGTTTTGAACTAATTCGCGCAGCATCACTTTTTGGCACCACGCCTATTATGCGCTGCGTGAGTCACTTGTTTTGTTAAGCAGCACATCAATGCGCACATTTGTAAACATAGTAGGACATGCGAAAACTCAAATATTTTTCACGCGAGTGTAGCAAATTGTAAACAGTGGCTATCTGAAGAAAAACTGTATGAAAGCATAAACAATTTACGAGAACAAAAAAAAAAACGCACACACATTTTAGGAACCTTTGAGCTTTGGTGTGATTTATCTTAAGTTCATATGCTACATAAATATGCACAAATGTGTACAAATCTCTGCCTATGAATTTGTATGTATGCGTATATATGTACACATGTACTTTTGTGCATTAACATGCGCGTTGGTGGAAAATTATTGCCGCTCTATATAATTAAGCAGATTTTCACGCTATAAATAGTTGGCGCATTAATTATTCTGCCGAATGTTCATGTTCAATGTTCGAGCAAACAACACAGATACCTAAACACATAACAAAAAAAAAAACAAAAACTGAATACAAATATGTATGTACACATGTCCATGCTTTCCTTAGCATCTGCAAAGGCTACTCTGTGGCCTAAATCAAGTGCAACACTCCTAAACTGTTTGTTTGAGCTAATCAAGCAGACCATGTTCATACAGTTCATAAAATTTTGTGTTTATTTTTTAATTTGGTTGTTAAATTTTTGGTCTACTTATTCTGTACACTTGTATGAAGTGTTTTGCCTGAAAGGGGAACTGTTTACTGTATTGGGAAAGCAAATTAAAAAAAAAAGAAATCTTGAATGAAATTTTGTTTGTACGAAAATAGCTTTCAAAACTCGAGTGCTAGAAGCTGCATATTAAATAAATAAAGTCTTACCATTAATTTACGAAATTTCTTTATTTTATTTTTTCATTGTAGTTCGCTTCAATACAAGTTTTTTATTTTATTAATTTTGCTTTTTCTATTTTTTAAATTTTATTTTACTTTAAAATTTTTTGTTTAGTTTTTAAAATTTTATTCTGAAACTGTTTTTATTTTATTTTATTTTATTTTATTTTATTTTATCTTGCTTTATATTTTCATATTTTCATATTTTTGAATTTTCTTAATTTTTATTTTATACAAATTTTTATTTTTGATTTATTTTATTTATATAAATTTTAAATTTCGTTTTATTCAACCACATTTTATCTGAATTTAAAACGTTATTCTTTATTTTGACATCTTATTTTATTTCTTAAATTTTTTAGTTCAATTTCACATACTATTTTATTTTCTTTTTTAATTTACTTTTGTATTTTTTTCAATATCTTTTATTTCAGCTAATTTTATATTAACTTTTTTGTTTTATTTTATTATTCAAGTATTTAAATGTAATTCAATAAATTTTTTCGGGTTTGCTTGTTTTTTTTTATTTCAAAATGTAAATTTTTTATTTACTTTTATTTTACCACATTTATTTAATTCTGCTTTATGATATCTTATCTTATTTGATTAAATTTTATTTGGTGGTATGTTATTTTATTTTATCCTACAATTGTATTGAGCCTGAGGCCATAAATTTTTATACACAAATATTTTTTTGGAAAAAGGAAGTAAAATTTATAGCTGAAATTTGAACAAATGATATAACCGTCATCATTACAAGAAGAGGTCTTCACTCGATGATCGAAATATTCGAACTCTAACTTGGTCAAGAAATTGGGACTCGATATATACATACATACAAGGGGCTGTGGAGCCACCGACATCTTGAAAATAAGTGTGGTAAAAATTTTTTCTAGCTAGGAGAACTACTTCCCAATTCACACACAATTAACTACAGATTTTCAGTACAAAATTTAAATCTGATAATTGATTCACCTGTCCATGCGTATGAGTATGTGCTCTGCATCAAATTCACGCCTTCTTCCGATTCAACGTTCTAGCCTAGAACATTACGAAAGAGAATTTTGTTGAGGTGGATTGAAATTCTTTGCTTTCGTTAAGGCCCTAAATGGCCTTTGCATTGATGACGACCATGTATGTATGTACATACATACATATGTGTACATATAACGGGTGATTTTTTTGAGGTTAGGATTTTCATGCATTAGTATTTGACAGATCACGTGGGATTTCAGACATGGTGTCAAAGAGAAAGATGCTCAGTATGCTTTGACATTTCATCATGAATAGACTTACTAACGAGCAACGCTTGCAAATCATTGAATTTTATTACCAAAATCAGTGTTCGGTTCGCTTTACGTCCGATTTATGGTCTACATAATCGACCAAGTGAGCAAACAATTAATGCGATTGTGACCAAGTTTCGCACTCAGTTTACTTTATTGGACATTAAACCAACCACACGAATGCGTACAGTGCGTACAGAAGAGAATATTGCGTCTGTTTCTGAGAGTGTTGCTGAAGACCGTGAAATGTCGATTCGTCGCCGTTCGCAGCAATTGGGTTTGCGAAACACATTTCGAACCGAACACTGATTTTGGTAATAAAATTCAATGATTTGCAAGCGTTGCTCGTTAGTAAGTCTATTCATGATGAAATGTCAAAGCATACTGAGCATCTTTCTCTTTGACACCATGTCTGAAATCCCACGTGATCTGTCAAATACTAATGCATGAAAATCCTAACCTCAAAAAAATCACCCGTTATCTATTTACATATGACCTTTGGCAGCAAGTGTCACCATGCAATCTTTGAATGATACGCACTTCGCCCACAAACCAAATGCCATAAATTGGGTTTTGCAACAATGTTTGCGTAGTAATAAACAGCTAATATTTCCTTTTAAGCGTTCACCAGCAAGCATATACATATGTAAGTAAATATGTATGTGAATATGTACAGCTGTATGTAGCTGCATATGCACTATGTAAATTTGCAAGTGTAGGAGTGTACTATGTGCAACACTACGCACCGCCGTATTTGTTTCAATGCATTTTCCGGACATATCTGTTTGATATCTAAACTTGTGCATATACATACATTAGGGCGGGTCAATTTTTTTAAAGCATTTTTAGCATCATGCGAGTTATTGTAAGCTTACCCTATTTTTTCAGCTAACTTGACTGGGCTATTGATTTGTAGCGCTATCTTGCGGTTCACTAAATAAGAAATAGATATCAAAAATTAATTCTTCGTATAAAAAAACACGCCCAAATACAAATTTGTATTAAAAAATATAAAATCGTAACACATTTGTAAATATTAATCTGCATTAAATTGCGCATGCTCGCAATTGACTTTCAAGCAATGGTCTGGAGGAATTTGTTTCTTAGAATTCTATAAAGAATCCGAATCTGCTAGGAGCGATGTCGAATAAAATCTATCCATACGAATTGACCCGCCCTAACTTACATATATACGAGTATCTTTTAATGCAAACATATATCTAATATTACTAGATCAAACCAAATAAAAAGAGTTTAATTAGAATATTTGCCCTTGTTGGCAGCTGTTGCAGTCAAATGGCACCGGCGTTAGTTTGTTTGTTGTTATTTTAAGGCAGTTGCGCGTTTTTTTTTTGTTATTGCACATTTTCCAACACTTACAACCCACACAATACTTGCGGCAAGGCAAGTCGTTGAAATGCCACCAACATTGCGACTATTAAAAGATATTAAAATATATATACTTAAATGATGTAGTATATAAATTAAATGTAACTATGTTTAAATACGTTTATATACCCTGAAGCGAACCGAACTATGTACTAGTTTTTGACTAACCGGGAAGTAAATAAGTACTTAGAGTAGCAACAGAGGTTTCCACAGATTTCAGTTGCGAAAATGTGGTGGGTGTCCATTGGAATACATTTCTGAAATCTAAGTACGCCTACCCTAGTGCTGCCACCATCTAGTTTGTATGCATCAGTGTAGCAGAGCTGGGATTCTTCGGTCTTTATTGCCTCACGATCATTCCTTTCAGGAATTACTAATACATTTGTAGCTCTTTATGAAGGATGACTTCTGTAGCACTGCGACTGTGCATTTCACAACGCGGCCGTTTATTAAAAGGTCTCCCTGAAATCTCTGCTTTTCATGGAGCTTAGACTCAACCGCCCTATAGGCGAACGAGATGGTCCAGCCAGCGGCCATCTCACTGTGGCCATCTCAGAGTCTGCCAAACACTAAGAAAGCATTGTCCAAAGGATACGTCCGGTTAGGCTGAGCATGCTTTGAAGTGCCATCAACTTATTACTTTAGAAAGTTTTTTTTATATGACAGTTGAGAAGTGCACATGCAGCAGTGAAATGTTTGCACATGCAGCAGTGTGCAGCATGCATTTAGGCGCTTGGTGTTAGTAGTTGCATCTAAACACTAACTTTATAAACAAGTCCTCAGTATGTAATTATTGGGTCTACTACCGTATTGAGCGACCAATGACCAACCGTCAATTTAGAGCATATTCCGCAAGTTTTACCACAAAAGTCATTGACAGCCATAAAAGATCCTTGTGGCTTTCTAGGTGTCCCCCTTAGCTATTTCACCTCTTGTGAGAACTCTACTTCCGTTAATCCCAATTTACGATTGGTTGGGTTGGCCTTCCTTATTTTGGTGAATGGAACCGTGAGGAACTTTGATTGGTGCATTGACACGCCCTTTTCGGCATAACATCTTAGGGTTGAATTCTGGGCTTCCTACAGGTTAAAGCATATCGCCGGCTGGATGGAAGATCGCCCTATCTTGACTTCCGGTTCGAAAACACTCTATCAAGATTGAAGAACACCCGCGTCGGTTATTGGGTCAGTGATATTCTTGCTTAAAATATAATTTCAATAGATTAGCTCATCTTCACTGTAGGGTATAAATGTACATACATACATTCATATGTACAAACACATCCGCTGGGCATACAAAATAGTTGACATTCAAAATTGGCTCGCCCTGGAATGAGTTGGCGCGCGCATTTAGCACTACAAACAAGCAATTAATTATAGCAAAATTAAATAAATATTTTTATTTATTTGACAGACTGGCCAAATTTGGCAAAGTCGTAAGGCCACTTTGTACAATCAAAAAGTTCTAATTTTTCAATTCCTTTTTAATTACGTAGTTACCAAATATGAAGAAGGGGAAGGGGGAATAGGGAAGCGAAGTCGTTCATATTCTACGTTCTTTTGCGTAAAGTACAATTTACACATAAATACATATTTTCACAGTTCAATGGTCTTTGATTTTGAATTTCTGCATTAAATTTATACATTCATACACTCCTACACGTACATACGTACATAGTCGACAGTTTAGTGTTATTCGCGGTTGCTGCTGCTGATTTGGCTTTTATTTTTTAAAAGCAAAACAGTTGCGTTCGATAGCACATCTAAGCTCCGTGTTGTTTTTCTATAAAACCAGCAGCATTCAAGAAACCGTTCAACCAAAGGCAGCAATAAAATTTCACTTCCGCTTCGCTGGTGGGTGTGAGGAATGCATTGGCAAGCCTCTTAAATATACGTATGTACAGACAGACATACATATGTAGAAAAAACATAAAAGCTGTACCAAACGAAACTTTACAGAAGGCCAAGTACTCGTATTTGTACTGTACTTACTATGTATTTATTGAAAAAATATAGATAAATAAGAAATTAAAGCTGGCCAGATGATATGTTTTCAGGATTTTGAAGAGTTGCAAGAATACATGCGGTGGGCAAAGTAAGACAGACGGCAACATTGATCCATATTTACGGCGCAGTTGATCTCATAAAAATTGTACCCTGTCAGATGGCAGTAATGCGGATTAAGAAGAGGTCGTCGGATCGAGCCCCGCGGCCGGTAGAATATTCATTTGTGCTTTCCTTTAATTCACTCAATTATTTCTTTTAATCTTTTTTATGTAATTACAGTTGTGGACATTTTTAATAAAATTAAACGCCAAAATTCCTATTTTAAATTAAAAAAATATTCCGAAATAAAATAAAACAAAAGAAAATAGTAAAAAAAGTAAAGAAAAATATATAAATCAAATAAAATAAAATAAAATAAAAATTGCTTGGCAATCGCTCGAATCGAGAAATCGAACCTGGGTCCTAAGAAATTGTAGTACTTAACTCTTACCACGCGGCAACCGTGGTCACCAAACTCGCTTGCTTTGTTTGCTTGCTTGTACAGTAAAAAACAGCTGGCTGTCATCGAAAATCAGTTTTGCGTATTGGTTGCAGGACTTAATCCGAATAAATTGGAGTTAATTCTCGAGATAATTACGAATTAACTAATTGATTCTCGCCTCGATCTGTCTGTGTTTTTAGAATTAATGAATAAATCTTAGCCCTTGCAAAGAGCCGCGAAATAGTTAAGCACGAATTTGGAAAGAACACTCACAAGGTTTACAAAACCTTACGGAGCCCTACGGAAAGGCTATAGTTAACTTACAGGTCTATTTTGCGCTGGTAACATAAATTTTATAACCGGTAATTAAAGTGTCTGTCAATTTTTAAACCTTTTTCGCATTCTGTGCTCTCTCCCAACCGGTAAATTTGGTTACCAGCTCATAAGCTGGAATACAGGAATTTCCACAAATCTTCATAGCTGAGTTGCCGAATTTTTTCACTGCATTGCCAACGTACCTAGAGACGCTATGACAAGAAGTGGTAACATTTTTTGGTAATACAATTTTCCGGTAACAAAATCTTCGGTAACGTGCAGAATAGACCTGTTAGTGACATTCGCGGAAACTGAATAAACTAGTCGGTAGAAATTCTAGTTAGAAAACCACGACCAGACCACGAGAAGGATCTATAATCACACAGAGGTGTAATTATTTATCATTGACTTCTGAGCATTCGGAGTGCATTTACGAGCATTGCGCCGTAGTGACATAAAACTCCTGCTTGGAGATATCAATGCCAGAGTGGGAAAGTAAGGGATATTTGGTCTCACCGTCGCAAAATTCAGCCTCCCCGATGAAACCGCCGATGATGCACTGCGGCTAACCAATTTCGCCGTGGCGCGAAACATCCTAGTTTGCAACAAGCTACATGGCAGTATCCGGAACGAAAAACACCAAATAATATAGACGATGTTGGGACAGGGAAGACAAGCTTCTAATATTTAGGATGTCGTACCACCCCTGAAGAAGAATTTAGTTGGATTTCAGCGAACCCTAAAGACAACGGCTATCTCGAAGAAGCAGGAAGTAGTTTCTGCAGCATAAACAGAGTCGCCGAGATCTGTGAGTGCGAAGAGTTTGAAATGGTGACATAGTGATTAACGTCCAGAACTTACTTTAATTTTTAATTATAACATTCCCAAAAGCAAAGAGGGAATGAACCCGGGACCTCTGTCGATGACGACGGAATCGATATCCCACTGGCTGACTAGAGCGAGGTATGAATAGTAATTTCGCTGTAGAAAAATTACAAACCTGCTGGAGCTGACAGTCTGCGGGTTGAGCTATTCAAGTACGTCCGCGAGAGGCTGATAAAGTGCATGCATTAACTCTTAAGCAGAATATAGTCAGATGAAGGCATGTCCAAAGACTGGAATTTAACTGTACTCTGCCCAAGAACTTATCTATCATATTGTGTCGGAGGCTAAAGCCCGTCGTCAATGAACTGTTTGGGCCTTATCAGCGTAGTAATGTGGCTGGTGGTAAATCCACCATGGATCTGGTATTCAACATGCGCCATTTCAAAGCAGTTTTGGACAGCACGTAATGCAGTTGCCCATACCGCATACGGCTATGTCTGAATTTGGTATCTCCGCGAAACTAATACGGCTGTATAAAATGAGGTTGAGCAAAACCAGCAGCAGCACCGTAAGAATTTGGAAGGTTTCCTCCGAGCCTAGACCGAGCCTTGTGACCCATCCATACGATATGACCAAGTCATAATTATTAAGCTTATACAACTCATCCATCCATGGTCTGCCAGTCAAAAAATTGTGCTCGATTTGAAATCGCAATGCCAATTGCTGTTATTTTTAGTGACCTACTTACAAACCCTATCTCGTATGTTCTTTTTCCACGAAAGCACTAAACAGATAAAGTATAAAACGTCAAAATATTTTGATCTCTTACGCCTGACTCCAACAGCATCAGCAATGCATTCGCGCATGCAAGCAACTGTTGTTGTTGTTGTTTATTGTAGTGCACAATTCGAAATCTTATCGCAAATCAAAAGTTATGCGATAACAAAACCGCATTAACCGCAACATCTTTTCTTTCAGAACATCTCTCTACAGCGCCACAGTGCGCAACAAGCGACGGGTACCAAACGTCGTTCAATGATATGTGTGTATATGTATATAGCGCGGCGTCTTATATAAAAAGTTTATGTGTTTTGCGAAAAGAAAACTCACACCACACTTTACGTTAATTGCGGAAAAGTCTTTTACCAGTGTGCGTGTGTGTGTGTGTGTGTGTGTAGGTTTGATCATAAATACTGCAATATATGTACGAGAGTACCTACATACAGATGTGTGTACATTGAAGTTAGTTCAGACTGCATGCAGAACACACTGTGATACTCGTGAAACTTTGTGGAATTTTTGTGTGAGCATCAACAGCATCAGCTGGAGCAAAAAAACATTCCCAAGATGACGACAGCTAAATGGATTTGGCGATTGGCGTTGAGCATACTAGGTGAGTACACATGTATGTATGTACATATGAGCAGAGATTACTAAGATTTGCGTAAATTAAAAAAAAAAACGAAAAATATTCGTAGCTCGTTTTATTGCTGCAATTGTTGAAATATTTTAATGTAATCGCACAGTGTGCGGCAAAAAAAATTAAAAAACTTAAGTGTTTGCGCCGATGCGTGCAATTAAAATTTTTGCGTTAGTTTTTGAAATTTTAAGCACATTGTATTGCATGTTAGGGTGTATCACTCTCCATACAAAAAAAAAAGAAGAACGGCACTGTTTTTCCATCGAATTTATAAAATTTATTATATTTGAAGAATTCCTCTAAGATTTTTCGTAAAAATATTAAAACTTACGCTGGTTCAACTTGTAAATATATCTAAAAATTTTGTTTACGTTGATACAAGTTTAAAAATTTCTATGCAGACCTTTTAAGCTAAAACTCTTCTATTTGAAATGATATTTTTTGAAAGGGGTATTTTTAAAAACGTATATTCTTAATAAAAAACTAAATTTTCGGAGTTATTTTCATATAGGTTTAGCTCACGTAAATCTCTATAATTCGCAATATTTTGGCGATAGCCTAACAACTAAATACATTTAATAATCGGTGAATAGCTCGCAACTTTTTTGATGAGGCAACCTAATGTGTTTACATACATAAATATTTCCAAAATGCAAAGTAAAAGCTGATGACGGCCAAATTTTTAAAAATCAAATATTGTTTTTAAAAGTCTTTCTCACAATCAAAGCCCATATTTCCTCTGCTTCATTGCGTGCCACTTATGTACGCATTTAAAAGCCAGCCACATCAAAAAAACACATACCCGCTAAAAATAAATATTACTTACAATTGCCATGAATTCGCATTCGGCATAAATTTTATTTTTAATCAGTCAACGTCATCGATACGCCTACCTACCTACGCGGCGTATACGTGATTAATAATTTCGTTTTGCTTTTTAGTAATTTCATAATTTTTAGCCCGCGTGACTATGCGCTCATTTAACAGGAACATAAAAAGTTTAGCAGCATTTCCCCAAAGCATTTTCCGAGAATCTTTTGTCTATGCATTAGCGCAATAAATCAAATTTTTATGCTCGGCGGCTGTCTCGCCTGCTAAGTGACAAGCGGCCGGCTGTGATTATGGATAACCAGCGGCATCTTTTTTATCCCATGCTGAGATTAATGGTTAGACATGTGTAGGCAATTGAAATGGCATATGATTTTGACCATGAAATTTCGGCTAAAATGTTTTTTTTTTTTTCACTTTTACTTCACTTGAATTTGCCGGTTGTCCGTAAATAAGTGTGTGCTAAATAAATGTATTTGCTTGCTGAGTAATTTGTAGGCTGATTTTGACAGAAAGTCCAAGTTTCAAAACATCCAACTAATTCGAGATATATTTCTATTGGTACGTTAAGTATTTTCCTGTGTAAAATGGTATTAGTTGTATTTAAAGGCCACAGGAAGTCGATGTTGTATGAATCATACTTCAACGCAAGAATACGAATAAGCATTCCTCGAACTCAGTAATGACAGTTGAATGATGAGTTCTTCATAGTCCTTTTAGAGTTGACGACATTCATATGGTTAAATGAAATGAAACCACAGACCAACAAATTTCGTGACGCGTCCCTCTCTTACATATACCGTTGACTGAGCGATTCACCCCCACATAAGCTGCGGTATAAAATAGTAGTAGAGTAGTAATCCGATTTTCCTGAAATTTGGTAAATACATAGTACTTACTTTTCAAATAGGTTCACTCCATTAACGGGCAGGTTTGGTAGATACTTTCTGAGTTTAATAATTTAAGGCTTTTCAATTTTTTGCAAGACTGGTGGGTGTTCAGATTTCAGTTTTACTGCTTGAGTTCGGTTTCAATGAATTTTATTTGCACAATAATTCTGGCTAAGTAAAAAGTCTTTCGTAATACAGATGACAGCAAGTATTGTCGCACTTAATGATGATGGAAATAAGCAACCTTTTGCACCTTACAAAGTTGCAAATGAATAAATTAATTTTTACATACAATTTATTTAATAAAAACAAGGCAATAAATAATAAAAATTTGCGAAAATGTTCTGCCAGTTGGACGATTGTAATGCAACAAACATTCCAATAAATAGAAACATCTTTTGCAATGTTCGCTAAAATTTGACAACTCTCAGTTGAATGCATAAATACTCTTGAGGCTTAATTGATTTTGACATTTTTATACAAACAATTTTGCAATTATTTTGGAAATTTTTGACATCTTGCTGACAAACTGCCGACACTTCCAATACATATTTTAACGCTATGACAAATGAAGATGCTATTTTTTTTTTTAAATTTATGGCAATATGGTATTTTTATCTGAACATTTAATGGCTGCTGGGTATACTATACATGCGCGCATCTATATGCACACTTGATTTTTCCCGCTGAACTTGGCAGAGCTGAACGCTAATTCGGTTGTGACGCATTCGAGACGGGAAGTCCTATTTTAGTGTCCATCATTGTATGCAAATATTTGTTTTGTACATTTAGACCGTTTCACTACATTTAAATTGCTGTTTAAAAAAAGCATTCAAAATAATTTTTGAGTGCACAAATACACATGCATTTTTGGATTTTGACTTTCTCAGCGATCGCATCTGTTTGTAAGAATATATACATACATACAAGCGCTTTGGGTAATAAAACTAATGTTAGTCTTAAATTGTCAAATTGTTGTTAATAAACTTAACGAGAGCCAATAATTCATTTTGTTGTTACTAATTACTAAATAAGTATTTTAATGTTAAACTAATTTAGCTAATACATTTATTTATGCTTTTTCTTTCAGCCATTTTTGTTGCCTGCTCAGCGGCCAATGAACCCACTGGCTATTTTCGTGAGGTCTGTAAATATCGGAAAGGGAAATTGGTGAGTGGATTAAAAAAAAAACACTCAATTGTGTTGATTGGCGGTATTTTAGACTTTCAATAACTCATTGTTAAAAAAAATGTTGTACAGGTTGTCTGCAATCACAACTCATTTTGGCGGCACGTTTTGCTCCCAGAACCGTCTCAAAGCCAAAGCCTACCTTTCACCTATTTTCTAATAGACTCGATGATCGAAATCTCTGGTCTGTGTCTATTTTTGCCAAATGATCAGATGTTTAATCACCAGGCACGCCCATGTGATCTGCTTCCCAGATTAACATAATTAAACCGAGTTTTGTTGTTTTATAAATCACCGGACTTTGTCTATTGTTTCATAATATGAATTTCATACAGATGTCTTCTGACATACCTAGATGAGGGCAATGCGGAAAGCATGTCTGTGGCACTCTAATGGAAATTGTTTGAAAAGGACAGGGCGCCTTTGAGCCTCGTGATGTAGGTGGTGGCAATATCAGAATGGTGGCTGTCCGGAGTGCCGCGTTTTGGCGCGTCTACAGCTTCGTGCACTGCGTGCTGCTGGTCCCCACTGACCACACGGGCGCTGCATATGTTGCCAATAACGCTTATTTTTCTTAGCTCCAGGTGCTGGCGATTTGAGGACCCTGTGGCCAGAACTTCCAGCTGTAATCTGACCTTTTTCGTTCAGGTGCTAAAAAGGGTTGTCGAGAATTCCATAGGGGAGAGGGTTAGGCTCCTTGCAGCGAGAGAAAGTTCGGAGAGGCAACCGTTTACTTTGACCACAAGTCATCAAATCCATTCCCAGTGTTGGTGAGGATTTTTGGTCTTGGTCAAACCGAAGAAGAAAATAAATTAGTTTACCCATACCTAGACCTTTTGCATAGGCTTGCTCGAAGCCCCGTTGCGCAAATCTCTGAATTTATTAACTTAGTTCCCATTGTCATCGTAGATAGGATAGCTAACTTAGCTGACCCCAAATTTGGACAATCTCGGCAAGAGTAGGCGGGGACAGTATTATGAAGGAAGCCCTGGTGAACTTCTGCACGGATGAGAAACTTGACAGAAGTGCCGGTGAATTATAATCATTGATGGGTACCAGGCAACAGTCAAGTTGCAGGAAACTGCCTTTGGATATATGTTGGCCATGAAAAGGACCATCGATTAGGTTTTCGCGTGAGAACATATAGATAGATGGACCTCGTGCCAGCTCCATGAATACTAGTCGAAGCTAGACCGGAGGCGGTTAGGTGATCTCCTTACGGATCGTAAAAGTCGCAGCTTTATTTAGTTGGAATCATCTAAACATTTTCCTTTGAGGTGCACCGTTTTTGCAGGGCTGTGGTCCAAAATCCTTGCCACCTGAGAAACTTAGTTCTTCACAAGCATAGTTTTTGGCTATAGCTTAGTAGTATCACAAACTATTGGTGCTTAAGGTCCAAGTGTGTTCTAATTTGGACAACAACAACTTAAACTAACCTTACCTTTATTAATATAAGTATGTCATCTACACCCCTTCCCTTCTGAATTCCAGTTACAACCAGTGAGCGAACATCGACATCGGCTACATGCGCTACGCGAACAAATGCGTATACGTTCCGCACTGCGTAATCTCGAGATCGACGCCTACATTTTGTCACCATATGATGAGCATATGAATCAGGAAATGGCCGAGCGTGACCAGCGTCTGCACTACCTAACCGGCTTCACCGGCACGGGAGCATTTGCCGTCGTTACCACTAACGCTGCCGCCATCTGGGTTGATAATCGTTATGTGCAACAAGCCGACGCGGAAATTGATTGTGAATGGGAGCTGCATCGAAAGAATTCAACGATGACCATAACAGCGTGGCTTTCGGTGAGCGAGAAAGTACATATTTGTTGAATAATTTTTTTTAATCATTGTAATTTTCTCAACAGTCAAAATTGTATGCGCATCAGCGTGTCGGCGCCGATCCGCACCTTGTGCCGCACCATCTGTGGATGCGTTGGGAGCGCGAGCTGGCGAATCGATTGCTGGTGCTGGACAGGGTCAATAACAATTTGGTGGATATGATTTGGGCAGATCGCCCGGCTCCAACGAATTTCACCATCCGCGTGCAAGTACTGCAATTTGCCGGTGAGAAGTGGGAGAACAAAGTGGAGGAATTAAGATCAAAACTACAGGCGTATAGTTGTGATGCCATAATCGTTACATCACTGACCGAGATCGCCTACTTGCTGAATATACGCGGACTCGACATACCATACACACCGGTGGTGAAGGTGAGCTCGTGAAAATCAATTTGATAATAACTTTTAATGAATGAACTATGGATTTCCTGCTAGTCATACCTGATAGTCAGCCACGACGAGATCTTTTTCTACGTTGATTTCAGCAAGATGACACAGGGTATTGACTTTCATTTGCACACTGACTGCTACAATGAACGCTGCGTGAAGTTAGTCATTTCAATGACATATTTCTTGCTACTCAGCTCATGAATCGCCTTTCTTGCAGAATTAAGGAGTACTACAAAGTTTGGAATGATCTGCGCACATATGCACAAATTTGGAAACGTGTACTCGTGCCGGGTCCCTGCGTGCAGGAGGAGGGTGCATCCGAGGCCGTTTTCTCCGCATTGCCGAGTAACATAGTGTATATAGAGGCTTCGCCTATAATTTTTATGCGCGCGCAGAAAACTCCCGAAGAGCAGCGTGGTATGCGTGAGGCGCATATACGCGACGCGGCAGCTATCTGTGAGGCGATGAGCGTTCTAGAGAGTAGAGTGAGTTCAAATGTGGTTTCGATACAAAAATAAAAATCTAAAGCGCTCATTTTTGAATGCAGTTTTTCATTGAACAATGGACTGAGGAGAAGGTTAAATACGAGATTGATCGTTCGCGTCTGTCGCAGAGTAATGCGCGTGGTCTATCCAAGCGTAGCGTTGTGGCTTTTGGTGAACATTCCGCACTGCCATATTACATTTCGAGTAATGTCACCGACATTGAAGTGACCGATCAGAGTCTGTTGGTAATCGAATCGGGTGGGCAATATTACGAAGGCACGACGGATGTGTCGCGTACCTTCATTTTTGGCGAACCCACAGCGGCAATGAAACATGCCTACACAAATGTGTTGGCGGGTATGCTGGAATTGTCAAAACTACGATTTCCTTCGAATTTGCGTGCGTCTGGCGTAGATGTGTTGGCGCGTCGTTTGGAGTGGAGCGATATGGTGGATTATCCACAAACGACGGGAAGTGGCATAGGTGCTTATGGCGCGGTGAAGGAGCGTAAGTTGAAGTATAGCAAAGCAAAGTTGGCGATTTTCGATAATGTGTCATTTTTTTCGCACAGCTCCAATATCAATAGCCTACGGACAGGAGGGCTCACATCGTTTTCAGGAAGGCTACTTCTTTTCGAGTGGTAGGTGTTTCTCTACATATACGGTTATTGAAATGATAACTCTTTTTTGGCTTCCCTTTCAGAGGCTGGCTTCTATCGACCAGGTGAATTTGGTGTACGCCTGAAGAATGTGCTAGAGGTAGTGGACACAGGCAAAGTGCATCCAAATGGCATGAAGTTCCTGGAATTTCGGCAAATCACATTAGTGCCTTTCGAACCGAAGCTGATCGATCCAATGCTCTTAAATGCAATGGAGGTGAGACACTTACTCCAGAAAGAGGAGCTCTCCTTTTTCTTAACATAATTTTCCTCTCCCACACAGAAACACTATCTCAACGAGTATAATGCGAAAGTGCGTGAACTTGTCGGTGGCGAGTTGAAGCGGCAAGGCAATATGCAGGCTTTCTATTGGATGATGAATAAGACGCGACACATACGTGAATATTTGCCAGAGGACGATTATCGTGCGGCGCGTGGAGCTGGACATCGAATGCGCAGCTTTTTAACGGTTACCGTTCCAGCGTTGTTGTTAGGTATAACCGTTTTTTGTAGCTTTGTTAAATGGTTGCTCTAGTGAAATATTGAAACGATAGTAGTTGATAGATAATACAGTTAGGTTTAGGGAATTTACTGGTAGATATTTTAGATGAAAATAGAATTAAATACTGATACTGTATGTATATGAATAACCGCACACGACTAACAGTACATATTTAGCAGAATTTTTACTTAGTTAAATGATAATGAATACGTAAAAGAATTCTAAAAAAAAGTGTTCTTAAAGATAATAGTCTTTTAAACAAACGAAAAATTATGTGCCTAATTTTCACTGTGTATTAGTTTTAAGGCTGTAAATAATATGCATATTTGCTTGTAATAAAAATGTGAATTTAAACTGAATGTATTATTTTTGTAATAAAAAAAAAACTAATTGAATTGTAATTGTAGGCGACTTATATGCTTTAATATATTTAGGTATAAGAAATTCTAGAAAATTGAGAGACTCAAGGGTTTAGTGCAATCGCCTCAATCTACGGAATTCTTTCGAAAGCAAACAAATAAAATATGGCTCCAAAAAGACAATGTAAGTTCCCAACCTTACTTCAAATCATTACACAGTTTATATAAGGCATTCAATAAGCCTATCAATCAGAAAAATTCAACGTTCGTGCTTTGTACACAGAAACTCACGGCTTGGAGTGGTCTTTCCCAATTCTGACGGAGCTGGTGGTATTTCTCAACATCATTTTAAATTTTCGAGGGGATGCCAAATTCCGCCATCGCGGTATATTTTCCACTCCTTTTAGTGTCATCGAAAGCGGCTTTGAAGTCAACAAATAGGTGGTGAGTGTCGATCCTTTTCTCGTGGGTCTTTTGCAAGATTTGGCGTATTGTGAATACCTGATCCATGGTAGATTTGCCAGGTCTAAAGCCACACTGATAAGGCCCAATCAGTTCGTTGATGGTGGGCTCAGTCTTTCACACAGTATGCTCGATAAGACGTTGTAACCTCCGCTTATATGCTCGCGTTGCGGCCGATCTCAGCGTAGCCCTGTACGTGGCATCTTTTTTCTCTGCATCTTCTTGACTCTTCTTCGGCGGCGGTACTTAATAAACTGTGAACTGTGGTTCCACTGCTCGCTTATGTCGGTTTGTTCATGAGTGCGCTCTGCGAGCAAAACCATTACTTTATTTGTCGGCCGCTGTGGTGTAGTGGTAAGCGGTGCGCGCTTCCACTCCGCAGCACCTGGGTTCAAGCCCTGGTCAAAGCAACATCGCAAAAAAGTATAGAAAAAAGGTTTTTTCTTAACAGCGGTCGTCCCTCGGCAGGCAATGGTAAACCTCCGAGTGCATTTCTGCAATGAAAAATAGCTTCTCATAAAAATACAATCGCCGTTCGGAGTCGTCGTAAAACGGTAGGTCCCTCCGTTATGACAGTATTTTTAGCAAAAAAACTGTAATCTTAAAAACGAAAAGATTTCTGGAAAATTTGGGTTTATAATCCTTGTCTTGGAATGCAGCTGACCCTATTTTTCTCAAAAGAGGAAACGTTATGCTCCATAGAGTCATTTAAGAGCCTGAAAAAGAGTCTGAAATTATTCATATATGAGGCCAAAAATTGTCTTGAAAGAGTCCTAAATGAGCCATTTATGAGGCCAATAAAAATCCCATATGACTAATTTGGATAGCTTTAAAACAATATTTTGGAAATAAACAAAAAAATAATAGGATTTCCATATCTATTAAGTAAATTCTTTACTCTAAAATTTTGGTGGCAACTCTATTCCGAAATACGCTGGAATGAATAGTACATATCTTGAAGGTGTAATGTGTACTATGTATACATAAAAAAACTTTTGATTGAGACTAACAAAATAAAAAAATTGTATTACAAGGAAGCGTGGCAACCCTGATGGAAAATATTTTCTGACCAAAGTTCTCAACAATACCTCTCACGTGATATCCATATTGCGATGTTTTAGATAAATTGGGTAAAATCGAAAATAAGTGGCAACCTTACACTATTATCCTAAGACACAGTATTTTGTGTATAGGGAAAGCATTGTTTAAGAACCTTCTCTTGGTAAATAAATAGTAATATTTTAACTTTTTATCCTAAACAAAAAATTAAATAAATATGCCATTCCAAATAGGTGGCAACCTTATTAAAAATATTTTTGAATTAAGGATATTTAAAATACCTTCCATTTGATATACATATTGTGATGGTGTAATTAATTTGTAACTAATTTCGAATAGGTGGCAACCTTATACGCGTCTTCTCGGAGATATTGCCTATTCAGATAACCTTAAAATCCAAAACATCTGTGTACAAAATTTCATCAAAATCGTTAGAGCCGTTTCCGAGAACCCTATGGATATATATATATACAAGAATTGCTCGTTTAATGTAACTAGTGTTCGCCCAGCGGTTGAAATTCAACCGATAAAATTAAGGATAGTTTATGTAAGTTGAATGAGCTAAAATAACATTAGTTGGAATGGGTTAAGTGGAGGGGAGTTTAGCTTAGTACTTGG